ATCATGACCAGAAATAATGCAAGGAAGAAGTTACTTAGTCGTATTCGTAATTCAAATGCTTAGAACTGCATTTGCTGGAAAAGCGAGCAGTTACCTCGAAGAATTCTCCAGGCTGAACCGAAAGTTCCTTATCGTTTCGTGCCCTGTAGGATTTTTGAGCGATCGCTAAGCTAAAAATAGAAATAGGATTTTTTAATCTTTTGAGCTTCTCTGACTACCCAAACTACAAATGAACAAAATCTGGTTTAAAGAAACAGACATGCCAAAAGCTACGTCTTTACTCGAGTAAATGGCCAACTAATGAACTAACATTCAAGAAACAGCATACACATCGTCAGAATCGTCCACTTAATGGGTCCAATAGAGTATTCATGAGACTACCAGTTCCCATTAAACAAGTCCAAAGAAGTGGCACCCCAATTGGACATCCAGACTAAACAAACAATCCACTGAGGCAGCAGTGCGCCCACATTTCGTAACCATGGAAAATGGAAGATCTCAATAAGAGGTAGGAAGTAACCTCTTCACCCCTGATCCGATAACATTTATCGCCTGGCGTTACGATATGCAGCTGACCATGAAAAAGCCAGTTGGTTCTTTGATCATCCCAACGATCCCATTTCCGATCCAGTAACCGATTAAAAATACGCTAAGTTAACGTTCTTTTCATGTTATGAGAGGATGAACTCTACAGGCAAATAGGTATGGTGATAGGGGCACATGACATAATGTCAGCATACGAGATGAAGCTGAGCGCAAACGGTAAACCCTATTTAAAGGTAGGTTCCGGCAGGGTTATAATGTCATCTAACCCACAGTGCTGTCAATGCTAGCTTCAAGTGACGCATTGCGTTGAGTTATTGCGAGAGTGATGTGTCTAAACCGCTAGCCGTGAACAGGCTGATGGTTTGCAAATAACCTCGAAGTGCCCACACACACAGCTTTTGCGATAATATAATTAATCCTCATTATTTGCTCTAATTTGCTTATGTGAATGCGAGCGTGCCAAACGAAGGAAAATAACAGTTTAAAGCCAGTGACGAGATGTCAGTAGAGCAGCCTGAAAGGGGAAAAACATTATGTACTGTTACAGTCGGTTTGATAATTAACGACGCCATGAGAATATTTGCTGCTCCAAGAGGCCCACCTTAACTTCGCTCCCTCTCTTTCTCTCGCTCCAGGAGGGCAATGTGGAACAGCGCATAGGCTGTTCAACGAGGGTATCAGCATTGACCATCCAGTGACTTGGAGTGTCGATGTGCTCAAACTGAGGACTGGACTGAAAGGCTTAACCTATAGCGATAGGGTTCTGTTGTTAAAGCTAATTACTAGAAAACTACCGCCTTACTTGTGAGCAAAGAAGTAGTTGAACTCTATAGTGAACTGATTGGTTTTATGCTCACCTGCGAGAAGGTACGATGAATACCAAGTTCACGCAACGGTGGCTCAAGAAAAGACCCAGACGCTATTTATTTTACGGTCCAGAACATCGAACAATCAGATTGGGAAGTTTGGACGAGTCGTCCATGAAGTTAAAAAAAGTACAACTGTCAGTGCATTTCGTATTACTTAATTCATAAAATACACATTTGTTGAGGCGAATGGGATGCACCTTACAGATTTCTAAATTAACGTCAAACATGCATACCAAAAGAGTAGCCGACAATTATTAAATCAAGTCCACGACAAATTAGGTGCAACGGGATAAGGTCTAAAAGGCGACCCGGGATTTTCATCGAATTCTCGATTAGGAGTAAATATCGCCTAAATAGAAGTATTCAAGCCTAATAAACTTAAGATGTTAGATAAAAGTTTATTATTCCTGCTGTAGTGTTGTACCAGGCCTCTCGATGAATTATCATAGAAGGAGGAAGGGAAGAGATACTAAAATCGTATAAGTAAACTCAACAAGCAATGTTCTCACGATAGTATTAGAGAGCTTTTATCTCAAGCCCAAGATTTGAAAAAAAAAGATGAATCTTGAAGCTTCTTACTCACATTTAATTAATACCTGCGCAGTTTGAGCTCATGTGAGTAGATACTACCTAAAATGCCTTTTTGACCCAGTTACATTTCACCCGTGCCATCCAATCTTTTCCTAACCACCAATGGTGAAATAAAAATCGACCTATGCGTTCACCCTCTCATATTCCACTCATTAACACCGAAAAGGGACAACGTACAAAAAAGCAGCATCGCTTAAACTACCTGCAAATTCAACGAAAAGGTGAATATAATCACATTCGCACTGGAGATTGATAGCCTTACGCGCCTCAGAAACGTAAAATGAGTAAAAATTTGACCAATAAAATGCCTCACGGCTTCAAATGAGAAAACGAAGATGCCAACAATCCTATTATGTAAGAGACAAGGAGGGAGGATAACAATGCGGCTTGCATAAATCGCTCCCCTACTTAATGCTAACTTCAGAACAAATCGTGGCTCAGAAAGAGGAAAGTCACCGCGATAAAATTGACACGTGGCATACCTTTTCATCCGTTCATGGACAGACTCGAAAAATTCTTCCAGTTCTGGCTTTGAAGGCTGCGGTGTCCGACGTGCGTGGGAATCTATAAGTCGGAGTGAGACAAGGGGTGCACTTTACCTGATCTTTTTTTACTTCCCTTCCTCTTCTCCATTGAGTTAATGAGCTATAATGCTTGGAAGGTCTAGAAAAGGGCAGAGAGGTATAAAATTCCTTCCATACACAACAGATTTTGATAAAGCATAAGTGCACAAACAAAATGGATTGGCAAATGAAACACCAACCATCTATGTGGATTTACGTTGTAACGCAAAAAATGTAACTTGTACTTGTATGTAAATTCGAGTTTAGAAATCGCCTCAACCCATGCCTCATCATTCAAGAGCCACTTTTAAAGGAGAGATTATGACAGAACAATGCATTTATTCATTAAGCGCCAAATACCCTCCGCTCTAACTAAATTCACTGGTTAAAAAAATTTTTATCTGATAATGTGAATGACGCCGGACGTATATCCAGAGTTTAACCAATACCCAGGGCTGGATTCCCAGGCCGTCTCAAATGTAATACTCATCCTTGCTTCATAACAGATTGTAGTAATGCATGAACATATGACTACAACAAAAGGCTAACCATCTATGAGTGGGAAACATCGACAATAAAGTAGACAGTAATGACAAAACTTTTAAGAATGCCAATATAACCAATGAGCATTAAGGCAGAATAAGTTGTCAAAGAACATACAAAGACCGCAGCTACTACAGCATGCTTCCTCTAACTTATCACTATTATTTGAAAACTGTGCTCAAATCAGCCTAATAAGTAAAAAGACAGAATACATATAGCAGCAAAATTGAAAGGAATGTATTGCTATACTTAGACACAAAGTCCAACCGAATTTCTGTATACCATATCAATAGCAGACAACTCAACACAACAATCGCAAATTTCTAAAGCTACTAAAAGCCAAAAGTAAATCAAATGTCCTCCGATATGAAACAAGTTAGAATCCAACCTCAGAAGCCTCTAGTTAGCCGCTAATAAGGGCCAGTCAGTTATTTGGAGTAGTTAAACAAAACAAGGCAGCATCACAATACATAAAAAAACAACTATTAAAACAATAAAACTTGTAAATATTTTACTTGCATCTCGTTTTTCTATTTAAAAATTCCACATAGGTACAGTAAAAATGTAGAATAAGCTACAACCGCAGATTTTGTTATTTAAGAAGTCTCGAAGCACTAAACTATAGCAACTCGATACTTCTCATTGAATGAAAAAAGGCATAACTGAGGTTGAATGTGTAATATATTCTAGTTTGTTTAAGTGGGCTTTTATAGGTGAGAGGCGGGGACCAATTGCGAACGTGGATCACGTGCGCGAGGTCGGCGAGGAGCCTCCCTGCGATTGATATCCCCTCACCGCATATGTATCTTATTCCCCATCCTTCCTACAGCGATGTCTAATAAATCGTCTACAACCAACTTCCTCTTAAAGTCTGAGAACCAGGGACCAGAGGGTTGACAAGCAGAACTACAGAATGCATGTATTATAAAGATGGCAGAGCAAATGGAGCCTGAGCCTGGCCCGAGGGCCATCCCACGTGTACGAGGGCCAAAAAACCCCAAAATGACCGCCAAACGTCATGTGATCATATAAATAAAGTATTGCACTACTCCTCTAATCTCTTAAGCGACATCCTTGGTGCTACAACTATAATAATATATGGTATGCGGGAATCTCAGCTTGGCTAGGTTCCTAAAATATTCTTCAGTAATGTATGTAGTGACCCGAGGCTTCCCATAGGGTAAAGGAAAGTATAAGTGAGGTTAAATACATGTATTCCGAAGACGACAGGGCAAATGGGGGCTGGGGGGGTCCTGGAGATCAGTCCGCATGTGCAAGTGCCAGCCAAATTCTAATGTGACCACCAAAGTCAAGTAGTAGTATAAACAAGATGTTACATTCACTTATACTTTTGTAATCATCTGCCCGGGTCTGTGGCACCTTGATTTCGTCCAGTGAGTTTGCCATTGTGTCATTCTAGCTGTCCAAAGAAATCTTTAATCTATATGGTTATGATACACAAAACTAAGTAACGGTG